TTACTCTTGTTACAGGCGGAGAGTCCGAGAATCCGGAGTGGCCTGCGCTGACCGTCTACTGTCCGCAGCCAGCCGATCCTGTCTATGATTCCGATGTGGATATCGTGGAGAACAAGATCGCGGTGCTGGAGGAAGGTGCAGACGGGGGTAACGGCGAGCAGCTGGGGCTGGTGGTGACCGGCTGCTTTTCGCTCCACAGCGCGGAGGGCGACGCGGGTAGTGGTGGGAGACACGAGGATGACGGGGCCCTGGAGCTGCACCCCCAGGACGGCGGACAGGAGGCGGCCAAGGACAGATGCGGCTCCGGTGACCAGGAGAAATCCGACAGGGGGAAGCGGGGAGTTCGAGTGCGTAAGAAGCCTCGCCAGAGCGGGAAAAGGACGTACGAGTGTAGGGAATGCGGGGAGCGGTATAGCTACAAATATAGCTTTGATTATCACGTCAAGACCCACACAGGCGAGAAACCTTCTGAATAAGACGTTTGTAAGAGGCGTTTCATCCAGAAATCTACTCTTGATTACCACGTCAGGACCCACACTGGCGAGAAACCATATGAATGTGACGTTTGTAACATGCGTTTCAGTAAGAAGGGCACGCTTAGTATACATATTAGAACCCACACCGGCGAGAAACCATTTGAATGTGACGTTTGTATGAGGCGCTTTAGCTAGCAAAACTCCCATGATGCTCACGTCAGGACCCACACTGGAGAGAAACCATATAGCTCTAACATTTGTAAACAGTGCTTATGTGACAAATCAAATCTCCGTCGTCACACGAAAACACACCGTACTCCTGCGGACCTGTGAATATGTGATTAACTGTTACACTGTTATTCAAGGAATGTGACGTCACATTCTTATCGATGTGAAACGTGTCACATTCGTTTGAATATTGTGTCACATTCATTTGAACGTGACTGCACGTAAATTTATGCTCAAATAGCACCAGGCGTTGGGCGATTCACGTTTAAACGAATGTGACACAACATTTAAACGAACGTGACACGATTCACAATAAAACGAATGTGACGTCACATTCGTTCAATAACAGTGTAGTAGCCATAGATAAAAGTGACTTTTGCTTAGGCAGGGTATTTGTTGTATGGTTGAAAGTTTCACGTCTGGTTAATGTAGACCGAAGGCCGATGTAAAACTGACCTCTCGACTGCCTCGTCTGTCATGTTGATTTTGTATTGAGTTCCTTTATTTAATTTTTGGTAATTAAGTGAATTAAAATAAAACATTGCACCTATAAATATTCTTCCTTGCTAATTACACCCTGCCCATATGTAGCTCAACAAAATTCGTGCATTGCATCTTGGATGCAGCGCTTTAGTGCCATAACAAATCTCCATCGTCACAAGGAGACACACCGTACTGCTGCGAACCTTTGAATATTAAAATTACGACATGTAGCCTGCCTGAACTGCATTGTAAAAATTAGTTGTTAAAAAACAGCTCAGTTGTTGAACAACAGCTCATTTGTTCGAGAACAGCAGAAGTTGTTGAAAAAAACTACGTTTGTTAATGCATTGTTGATATTGGACTATTGGGCACCATTTCGTTTTTGCTAACGTTTTTTTATTACTGTTACTGGTCAACTTTTGCCGTTATTTGACAAACGAAGCCGTTTTACAACAACACGAGTCAATGAAAAACTTAACAAATTTGCTGTTAAGTGACATCAATTTTTTTTTTACAGTGTGACATTTGCTTAGGCCTGTTAATTTTGTTGGCTGAGCGATTAGCGAAGCCCATAACTCCACTGACCGGAAAAATTTCATTCTGTTTGTCTGTCTGTCTGTCTGTCTGTCCGCACGATAACTCGAGAAAGAATTGAGAGAGCGATCTGGGAATTTCAGGGTCGTTTTGTATCATAAAACGAACGGGAATCTCGGCTCCAGCCGAACGCAAGAGCTCTTGCGTTCG